ATGAATGGAAGAAACAATATGCGAGAAAGAGAGAATAAACTATCGAGAAGATGTATAGTTTCTTAATTTTCATAATCACTCGTGGAAATCGTTATTTTTAGTAAGTCCCGTTGATCGATCGATCGTCAGAGAGATTCGTGACGCGTGTGTATTCGCTGTGACGATCGATTATACGAACGATCTCACGGACAGACCGTGAAATCGGCGTAATGTCGTGGTTAGTACAAGAAATTGTAATTTCGAGGTATAAAACTAGAATCGTGTCCCGTTGAACGTCGTGAAACCTGTCGTGATTAACAATGGAAAATCGAAGGAAAGTAAAGAGAGAGAGAGTGATGAACCACAGATGAACGTGAAAGAAACGGAAGAGTTTTGTTCATCGATCGCAGTAACACACATATATACACACAGTAGAAAGAGAAAGAAAAAAGAACGGTCGTCGTGAAGAAATAATAGAGAGATCGTTCTCGTGACGACTTGGATAAAAAAGACGGACGCGAAGAAAGAGAAGAAGAGGGGAAAAGTGAGAAGTGAAGGAGAATAAAAACGAAGCTTTTGAGAGCCGAGTGATCGAGCAAGTGTTTGGCTGTGCAAGTAGAATAGAACAGAGACAGAAAGTGAGTGAGCGAGAGAGAGAGAGAGAGAGAACGTGAGATTTGAGAGAAAGAATGAGAGAAGGGTGTGAACGAGAGAGACAAAAAAAAGATTCAGATGTTTAATCGAAGTCAGCGAAAGTATACAAACAACTACACTGTTACCCTTCTGTGGATATGTGTTTCAACTCCTCCCCCTCTCTTTCAATGGTCTAACACGTGTCGGCCTACACGTGCCTCTCCTTTCAAATCACCACGATCTCTGCTTTTTAATTGATTGAAAGAAAATAAATAAATAAATAAAAGGGAGTGTGTGTATGCGCGCATGCGAGAGAACAAGAACGAGTGTGTGAGTGAACGAGAGAGAAAGAGAGAGTGAGAGAGAGGACATCGCGAGAAGGAACAAACGGGAGAAACAAAAAAAAAGGGAGAAAAAGATTACACACACATACACAGGTTCGTGTACGAATACTGTAGCTGATTATACATTGACATTTTCGCTGCTTCGACAAGCTACAGTCTACCATGTATATATTTTCATTAATGTATGTATAATAAAAAAGTATATTCGAGAATAACTGTTGGCTCTCCCATGTTTCAACACGTGCGTATATTCTACAATCGTTCGAATTTTCTACGTTTTCCAATATTAAACGAGAACACTTTTTCTCCATGGTAACCCTACTTGTGCATTCATACATTCCCAATGATCCTCCCGCGTTATGCGAATGCACACTTATATTCAAATTTTACGACTGTCGATTGTTTGAATAATAACGAGAGAGGAATCACGTATTCGAACCGAGCGCGGTAGATCGATCCAACTATGAATGAAGCGCGCGTACTTTTTCGTTGAATGAACTTACGCACGTTGTGTGGTCACGTGACGCACGCGCGTTGCCTAGCAACGCGGTCCATTCCTGTGTCGCATGGCCGCCAACCAATCCGACGCTTAGCCGCGCTAACCGTACAGTACTGCGTATCGTTACCGTTCAAATCTAATATCTTTCCTCCTATTTTCTATGAAATTTCTTAAAGAAGTTTTGTTCGTTAATTATTCAATCGTACAAATTCGATCGAACAAAGTGTCACCGCTGAAAGTACGAGGTTTCTTTTAAAACAGGTTCAAAAGGGTTAAGCTACGAACGTAACCTCAAATCAATAGGATAACCGTGCTTTGAGATTTTTAACATTTGCATTCGATAGAAAGATTGTTGTTTTATGTATTCGAGATGATCTACGAGGAAAAGTTTAAAAGAAAGAAATAATACTACGAGGTTTTCTCGTGATTCTACGACGAGAGGTAAACATAACCTATCTTTAATATCAAATACACGATGAGTAAGTACAGGAGGAAAGAATCCTCGAGCGAAGACAGCGATAGCGAGGAGGAGAGACGTAAAAAGGATATCAAGGAGCGTGATGAATTCGCCAATCGACTTAAAGCGAAAGATGAGAGCAAGATACGAAAGGTGGCTATGCCGGCTGGCTCAGGAGCAGGTAAACCATATCACTCTACAAGCATGAATATTGTATTTCGTTTAACATATCATCCTAATAAAGATCGTTTTTATTCAACTATTTCCTATTACTTTCACTTCTGTAATTTCTCATTCAACGATGCATTCTACTCGATTTTCCCAACGTGAATGTTACTTTTTTTAAACAGCCGAGGCAGCCAAGAGACTCAAACTTATGGAAACGGATATGCGGGAGAAATTGGTGCCGAAATTGCGTGTCGAATCACGACGAAAATACTTGGAGAAACGTAAAGAGGATAAAGTAGCCGAATTGGAGGCTGATATAATCGACGACGAATATTTATTCGAGGAAGAAGTGTAATATTTCGCAGCTGTATTATATTCAAAAAAATTATACGATATTTCACTTTAATTCTTACGCTATTGTAGATTAACGGACCGCGAGAAGAAGGAACGGGAACATAAGAAACAATTACTCCAATTAGCGAAAGAACATGAGAAAGCTAGGGAACTGGAAAGGGTGCAGCGTTATCATATGCCCTTGGAGAAGGGTAAATTGGAACCAGAACCTGAAGTGCAGGACAATGAACCGCCGCAATCTGAACAAAGCAAATGGGAGTCCGATCAGATGTCGTCCGCTGTCTTTCGATTCGGTGCGAAAGACAGGAAAGGTGTGCTAGAATTTGTATACGCTAAGAAGAATATAACACGAGAACTGTGTTTTATATTACACGAAACAAATGAAAAAATGAAATTCCACAATTTAGCATAGTTTCGATCACTTGCAGCGCAACAGGATTACGATCTTTTGCTGGAGGACGAGGTGGAATTCGTCCAGGCACTTCGTATGCCTGGCAGCGAGAAGGACAAAAGACGCGGAGAGAGTCCACCGGCCCAAGTGAAGGCTTTGCAAACTATACACGAGACGAAAAAGAGTTTACCGATCTATCCTTTTAGAAACGATTTGATTCAGGCTATCAAAGATCACCAGGTACATCGAGTGATTACCAGGGATGGAATGGAGTACCTCGCAAATAGATTCCATCCCTAGTGACTACGTTTGAGTCGTTAATTGAAGAACGAAGAATCTCTACATATCTCACTGAAAATTTCGTTCGCATAGGTGTTAATCATCGAGGGAGAAACAGGTTCGGGAAAAACCACCCAGATTCCGCAATACTTGTACGAGACTGGTTTCGCGGAGAATAATAAAATAATCGGGTGTACACAGCCACGCAGAGTGGCCGCTATGTCCGTAGCAGCGAGAGTTGCTCACGAAATGGCCGTGAAATTGGGCAACGAAGTGGGCTACGCGATTCGTTTCGAAGATTGTACCTCTCATCGTACTCGTATTAAATATATGACAGATGGTACGCTTCATCGTGAGTTCCTCAGCGAACCTGACTTGGCTTCTTACAGGTATTCAGATAGAAACTTGTTTATAATTGATTTTTTATCAGTCGAAAGTTCCACTAATCTCGTCGATTTTAGCGTTATGATAATCGACGAGGCCCACGAGCGTACTTTGCACACTGACATATTGTTTGGATTGGTAAAAGATATCACCCGGTTTCGACCTGACTTAAAGCTCCTAATTTCGTCGGCTACGTTGGACGCTACGAAGTTCAGCGAGTTCTTCGACGACGCTCCAATATTTCGGATACCTGGTCGACGTTTCCCCGTTGACATTTACTATACCAAGGCACCTGAAGCGGATTACATCGACGCCTGTGTGGTCTCTATTCTTCAGATACACGCTACTCAACCGTTTGGCGATGTACTTGTATTTTTAACAGGTACTTTATTATTTAATCATTCCAACTGATGAGTTATTTAATAATTAATCGATATACAGGCCAAGACGAGATAGAAACGTGTCAGGAAATGTTACAAGAGAGGGTGAGACGATTGGGTTCGAAATTAGCGGAACTGTTGATCTTACCCGTTTATGCGAATCTTCCAAGCGACATGCAGGCGAAGATATTTCAACCTACCCCTCCAGGAGCAAGAAAAGTATATAAGAATATTGTATTCTTGGCTAAAGAATACCGTCAATCATTATTTCCATTTATTAATATGAATTTAATTGCAAATTCTATAGATAGTTTTGGCTACCAACATTGCGGAAACGTCGCTAACGATAGACAATATAGTGTACGTGATAGATCCTGGATTCGCTAAACAGAACAACTTTAACTCTCGTACAGGCATGGAAAGTTTAATGGTAGTACCTATCAGTAAAGCCTCTGCCAATCAGAGAGCTGGTAGAGCTGGAAGAGTAGCTCCAGGCAAGTGTTTCCGCCTGTACACTGCCTGGGCTTATCAACACGAGTTAGAAGACAACACTGTGCCTGAGATTCAGAGGATCAATCTTGGTAACTTGGCGTGAACATCGTTTACCTTCATCTTTCAACTCCTTGCATTCGAATCGTGTTCTAAATCATCGTTTGGAATACTGAATCTGTCCTATTTAAAAACAGTACATTTTATAGATGTTCTTCATTTTCTAGCAATGTAAGGATTTGATCTAATGCAATAATTAATCACAGGCAATGCAGTGCTGACTCTGAAGGCGCTTGGAATAAACGATTTGGTCCATTTCGATTTCCTCGATCCACCGCCACACGAGACTCTGGTTCTAGCTCTGGAACAGCTGTACGCTTTGGGTGCGTTGAACCATCGTGGAGAATTGACGAAACTTGGTCGTAGAATGGCCGAGTTCCCTTTGGATCCTATGATGGCGAAAATGTTGCTGGCCAGTGAGCAGTATCGTTGTTCAGAGGAAGTGGCCACGATCGCCGCTATGTTGTCCGTGAACGGAGCCATCTTCTATAGGCCCAAAGACAAGATCATCCACGCAGACACCGCAAGGAAGAATTTCCACGTGCCTGGTGGTGATCATTTAACGTTGTTGAACGTGTACAATCAGTGGCAACAAAGTGACTTTAGTACGCATTGGTGCTACGAGAATTTCATTCAGCACCGGTCGATGAAGAGAGCCAGAGACGTTAGGGAACAGTTGGTTGGACTTATGCAACGAGTAGAGATGGAATTGGTCTCGGGGATCACGGAAACGGTGAACATTAGGAAGGTAACGATAATTCAAATTATATGTTAAACTGTACAAAGTAAGTGTTTTATCTTCCATTATATAATTACGGATACATTAAGAACGATAATGAAAGATAAAAGAATTTACGTTGTAAATTAAAGGAAATGGTAAATGGTTGAATTTTAGGCTATCACGGCTGGATATTTCTATCATGTGGCGCGATTATCTAAAGGAGGACATTATAAGACTGCGAAACATAATCAGACTGTGTCAATTCATCCTAACAGTTCACTGTTTCAAGAGCTACCACGTTGGTTGCTTTATCACGAGCTAGTTTTCACCACGAAAGAGTTTATGCGACAAGTGAGTGACGGAAATACGAATATAAGAAGTATTAAATATTTTTAAAATCATTCTTCTTTTATGTTCACAGGTGACTGAGATCGAAAGTAAGTGGCTTTTAGAGGTAGCACCTCATTATTACAAGCCGAAAGAGCTGGAGGACTCGACGAATAAAAAAATGCCAAAAGTCGCGGGTAGATCGCGGCCAGATGGTACAAACTAAACGTTTAATTGATATAGTTAAGTAAGTACAACTCCGTGGCTTGTATAAAAATACATTGTACAAAAAGCGTAACTTTTGCAACGTTATTTTTTAAACAAAAAATCAAATAAAATCGCTGAAACATAGAATAAAATATATCAAGTCATTGTTGACGCTATTTTCGCGAATTTTCTAATTTTTTCGCTCGAATATTGGGATTTTACCGATTATTACGCATTCCCAACAATATCCGGATTTAATTTATTCAATTTTACAATGGAATATTATCTAAGAAATGAGTGTTTCGCAAAAGGAGATGGGTGCGGTGTGTAAGGGAGAAATGGATAGACTGTAAAATGCTATGAAACAATACTGGTAACGTTTTGTAAAATACATTTTGTACAGTTATCTTGCAATAAATATTCGATTTTTTATAAAGTCCTTTCCTTTATTCCTGTCCTGGCCTTGTACCCTCTATATATCATTTGAACAAAAAGAATATTAATTTTTGAATGTTAAATAAAAATTATAAACAATTTCTAGCTAATCTACTGCGTGCAATTGTTAATTTCAAAGCGAAATTAATAAATTGAGTACTTTACTACTTTACTACTTTACTACTTGACTACTTTATCAGTAATGTTAAAGCAATTAAAAATTGATTATAAGTATCAATTAAATATAATTGGGATGACGAGCATAGGACTACCGTAATGAGTTAGACAAGGATAGAAAAAAATTACGAGCAAGACTAACGCCATCTAGCGTTAGGTGACGCGAACTACCATTTCTTAATAGGAGCACATCATATAAACAGAGGTATTAGACAAGGAAAGCACTAGTGTGCGACAAGGACAGAGAGAGAACGCTTCCTATTGGCTGGCGGGCCGGTGAGCTCTACCTTTCAGGCCCTAAATCAAGCCGATCGATGAAAAATCGTTAATAACTCATTAATTAGGATCATTTTGTGAACTTTTAGTATTGAAGAATGAAGCGTGGACCTTCAGCATCTTTCACATATAATTTTTAAGGCTCTAGGACCTTTCTATAATTAGTTATTAATTATTATTATTAGCATTGTCGGGAACGATCCGACAGTACCTTACGGTTTTTCATTAATATCATTGTTCAGGGTAAATTGCCGGTAAAATTATCACATACATCTGAAAGGGAGCTCCTTTGGCTACATTCTCCTGTAATTCTTATTAACATATCCCTTGCGGTTCGATAGTTATTTAATATTCTTTGGGTGAGTATCGCACCCGTCGCATTCAAGCTTAGCACATTTTCGTTATTTCAATAGATATGCGTGACAAACTATGCACTTTTGAGCATAAAGAATGTAGAATGGACTTTTATCAACATTCTCCAATCATTTTCGTAGCCGTATGGAATGTGGTTTATGAGATATTAGCAATTGTTTATAACAGTTGACTATACTCGAGTACGATGTATAGGGAACGCTCTCATATAATATTTAGTAACTAGTAAACTAAACGGAATATGTTAACAAAACTTACATGGGAATGTAGCTAAAGAAGTTGCCTTTCAAACGCATATAATTAGTTGTATGAGAATTTAGGGGAAAGCTATGAAATTATTGAGAAACCGCAAAGACGCTCGACGGTATGCGGTATCGTTCCCGACATCCCGTACTAAATTGTTAATAACTAATTATCGAAAGGATCTAGAGCATTAAAACCTACACGTGAAAGTTGCTGAAGGCTCGCGCTTCATTCTTCAATATCAAAAGCTGACAAAATCTTCCTAATTATCGAGTTATTAACGAGTTTTCTCTATCCGATTTGATGTTGCGTAAGCGACTTTAGTATCGGTCCCGATATTAATATCAATAACTAATTATTGCAAGGTCCTAGAGCCTTAAAAATTATACGTGAAAGTTGCTGAAAGTCCACACTTCATTCTTCAATTCTAAAAGTTCACAAAATCATAGTAATTATTGAGTGATTAGTGATTTTTCCCTGGCCGACTTGACGTAGAGCAAGGGACTGTCCTACCCTTCCCGATATTAATATTAATAACTAATTATTTAAAGGTCCGAGAGCCTTAAAAATTATACGTGAAAGTTTCTGAAGGTCTACACTTCATTCTTCAATACTAAAAGTTTACAAAAACGTCGTAATTATCGAGTTATTAATGATTTTTCTCTGTCCGACTTGGTGTGGCGTAAGCGATCGCCGTATCGGTCCCGATATTAATATTAATAACTAATTATCGAAAGGTCCTAGAGCCTTGAAACTTATACGTGAAAGTTGCTGAATGTCCACACTTCATTCTTCAATACCAAAAGTTTACAAAAACATCGTAATTATCGAGTTATTAATAATTTTTCTCTGTCCGACTTGGTGTGGCGTAAGCGATCGCCGTATCGGTCCCGATATTAATATTAATAACTAATTATCGAAAGGTATGATTTTTCGTCGACCGGTTTGATGATGCGTAAGCGACTGCCGTATCGGTCCCGATATTAATATTAATAACTAATTAGCGAAAGGTCCTAGAGCCTTGAAACTTATACGTGAAAGTTGCTGAATGTCCACTCTTCATTCTTCGATACTAAAAGTTCACAAAATCGTCCTAATTATCGAGTTATTAATGATTTTTCACCGGACCACGTGGCTGGGGCCCCGGGAGATGGAGCATGGCGGCCCGCCAGCCAATGGGAAGCGTTCTCTCTCTCTGTCCTTCTCGCACACTAGTGCTTTCCTTGTCTAATACCTCTGTTTATATGATGTGATCCTATTAAGAAATGGTAGTTCGCGTCACCTAACGCTAGATGGCGTTACTCTCGCCCGCTGTTTTCTTCTGTCCTTGTCTAACCATGTTGCTCTCCTTGTCTAACACACGGCACAATTGTTATCCTTGTCTACACCTATTCCTTTCCTTGTCTAACTCATTACTCTAGCCGTATCCTTATCTACCGTTACACGTTTCATTGTCGAACTCGTTTCTCCAGCGTTATCCTCGAATAACTTATTAATTTAATACTTCCAATATTTATAAACTACCATTTAAAATGTTATTTAACAAGAAACAATAATTATTCTGTACTTAAAGTTCTCGAAAATAAAGCAGAAACATTCTTTCACTGTCTACGTTATTAGTAACGTTGAAGCAATGAAAAGTTTGATTAAACGTAAGAATTTGAAACTGCTTGCTATACGCAATTATACTCCAATTTACAATAACTATTATCAAAAGAGAAAAATTCAACGAATTTCCATTTAAAAAGTCAACTAACCTGATAATATTACACTTCCTTCCCGACGATGCTCTCGATCCTTCCCCTACGAACGCCGGCAGCAGACTGACAAGGACAGAACAATCCCTCTGGTCTTTCTTACAACTCCGAAAATCTGAAATTGTCCCAATTCCTAAACTCTACTTTAAACTATCGAAGCCAAGGCACTCCTCACCGGTCTGTAAAATGGAGAAAATCCCGATGAATCTTCCCTCGCTCCAAGGTGCACCCTCTTAAGTAAACTCTGCACGAAAGATTGTTCGAGTAACGAACGGTTTATCTCCGATACGGTATATCTCCAACAAACATATTCACCGCAGTACACTTTGTTTCCGTTTCAACAGTTCCACCCGCTCTCCTCGTTATTTAAAGCCCCCCTCCCCTAGATAAATAAAAGAATTGCCGCACAAAGGATACGTAGCGCGGAGAGGTATAATGAAACGGAGTACTATGATATACTGCCGCGCATGTAAAAAATAACTTTACAAATCACCCTGTGACACAATAGACATTACGGTAATGACAAGCTGCGTGCATACGAGGGTGGACAATGTGTTCGAACGTGAAAGAAAAACAGCCATCCTATAGATAACAGTTCCCTAAAGGTACAGCCTGTCGTTCCACCGAGTAGGGTGAAATTTTCCGTCGCGATGAAAATTACGCTTTGAACGGTATTCGTGAACGAATAGAAACGAACGCTGTTCAACTCGCCGCGGTAGACCAGTGAGAAGATTCGATGAAATCTGTCTTTCACGTTCCTTTCTTGAAAAATGGCTATCTTACGGCCAGCTTTCAACATACTGACGATCTGCGGATGCTGGAGGCCGTGCTCGTGCCGAACGACACGCGCCAAGGCCGCGTACATCGTTTACACGATGTTCGTGGTACTTTTATTGCACAGCTTCTGCATCTCGCAATTTTTCAACGTGATACTGAACTTGAGAACGGCGGACGAGCTGAGCGAGAGTTTCTACATGTTCATCGCGTCCGTTCTGTCCTGCTGCAAGATCGTCACGCTGCTGACGAACCACGGAAGCATCGAGATCCTCCGGAGGAGACTGGAGGAGGAGCCGTGTAAACCTGTGAGCGCCGAGGAGGCTGTCATACAGAGTAAATTCGACAGAAACATCGGGTAATAGAGTGGACACCGTCGTGCGGGTGGTGTTTCGATTCTTCTATCGTCCTTTCTCTTCTTCTGGTGCTTTAAACGTCGAGGCGTTTCACGGAGAAAAGATATAGAGATACGCGTGCATCGCCATTTGTAGAATATACAAATTTTTCTCAGCTCGACTTTGTTTGCTTTTGTTATCTTCTAGGCGTATGGAAGTTGTTTGCAACGCTGTGACTTCGAGGTTTGCGACAGAGTAGAAAGGACAGCGAAGGGAAATAATTGACGTGCAAAGAAGGATGAACTTCATTTTTTTTTTTTATTATTTCTTAGACATAAGGAGGTGCGGTAGGAGAACTTGCCGAAGACGATTAATTTTCTTTCCTTTTTAATTATTCCATAGGCGTGCAGAAATAAGTTTGCCGTTGTTACGGACCGCTACGCACGTGACTTAGATTTTTGCGGTAGAGTAGAAAGAGCAGCACGGTGAGAAAAGTGAATGAAAATTGCAACACATTAGCACGAGCGTTAAGGGCTTGAAGGATCGAAGGAGAAGGGAAAGGACGTTTCTCTCGATAGCCTCGATTGCAACACACTTTAAGAGAAAGAAAGAGAAAAGTTATACGTTTAGACTAAAATCTTCGTGACTTGGAGCTTTACAGATGCTTTACAGGTCGGTGACGATTTACTACACGATTCTGGTGGAACTCACGGTCCTCTGTATGATCCTCTCTTCGTTGCTCGGCGACTTTAACGAGCGGGAACTGGCGTACAGAGCCTGGCTGCCCTTCGATTACTCTCTGCCAACTTACTATTACATCGCGTACGTTCATCAGATCGTCGCGCTGATCGGTACGTCGCTTTCGAACGTCGCCTGCGACGTGATCATCTGCGGGTTGCTCGTTCACGCTTGCGGCCAACAGGAGATTCTCAAGCACAGAATGAAGGAGATGACGCAGGAACAGAGGCCGAATATCGGGAAAATCGTTCGTTTCCACGATTATCTTTACGGGTTAGTCCCTCCGGATGTACGATCTTCTTTGTTACACCGAGGCACCGAATTAGTCGATCGTAACGTCTGAAAAATAATCGATCTAGACGTTACTTGCACTTTTTCTGTTTTATTGACGATGAAAGAAACATTCTTACATTCTTCGAAGAATTTCTCTTCTTAAAAGATTGATACGTGAGGTCCGAAAGGTTGGCGACCGCTTAATTAAGATGGGACGTATCTGAACGCAGGTACGTTTTCACGATGCAAGAGAAGTTCAGATGGATAATAGGCGTGCAGCTTTTATCGAGCACGCTGGTAGTGTGTTTCATCCTGTACGAATTGGCGAACACGCCTCCAATCAGCTCCAAGTACCTGCAATTTGTCCTGTACCTGGCCTGTATGATGACGCAGATCTTCTTTTACTGCTGGTACGGCGAGCAGTTGAAACTGAAGGTACTGATTAATCTCGTCGATTACAATTTCCCTGGTTCTCACGTTTCGCCCTATCATTCAGAGCGTCGAGATTGTGCGCACGATCTTCGAAATGGATTGGATACCTCTCCAGAACGGTATCAAGAAGGATTTGATAGTCGTGGCGAGAAGAGCGATGATCCCGATCGAGTTGACCTGCGCGTACATGTTCACCATGGACTTGAACACCTTCGTCAGCGTCAGTGAACATTTCAAAGAAATTTCGCAGAGAGATGTTTCCTCTCGGTACCTTAACGCTGTGTTTGCCTGATTTACAGCTGTTGAAAATGTCCTACTCGACGTACAATCTGCTTGAAAGGAGGAGCGACAAGTAACGTTGGAGATGCAAGATTATTTTTGCAGCTAGATCGACAGAATCGAGGACCTTGCAGCTGAAAATTAACCCTTTCGCTGCGGTAAATTTTAGTACGCGACGCGCGTCACAGATTCAGATGTTCCAGAAAATTTCTTGAATTTCTATTTTTAACTTCGTCTCGTCGAATTAACGCTTGAGTGAATGTTGAAGTGCGCCAAAGGGCTCGAATAGAACACAGTGCGAGCAAATTTTCAAAGCGCCGATAGCAGTGAAAGGGTTAAAGGGAGTTGACAAGTTTTCCTTTCTATCTCTGGCGAATTTTTTCAATCTGCAGCTCTGTCAACAATTCTAAAATAAATCGCTCGTTTGCTGTCCAATCTGCACCGAGCAACGTAGAATTTTCTCTGGAAGTAGTGAAATAAATCCGTAAAAAGAAGGTATCGTACCTACTTGTATACACTCGTTGTCCCATTCTCCAAGAGGCTTCTCCGTGAAATAATAGAAACTTCCTTTCCTCCACGTTTCGCTGTTCCACTTGTGAATTAAATAGAGCGAAATCGGCCGGAAATGGTACAGTTCGAGGGATCTAGAAGTAAATAGGCAAAGGGGAAAAAGGAAAAGTTCGTGTACGATAATAACGACGGGGGACAGATAGTACGCTTATTTCGTCGAACACAAAGAATATTGATGCTTCCACCCCTCCGCTCTCCTCGTTCACAAGCGTTTTATACAGGGTGTCTCGTAACTCCTCGAACACCCGGAAATAGGGGGTTGCAGGGGTGGCTCTGAACAACTGTTTCCTTTACCAAAATGTTGTTTGATTCCGACTAATTTATACAAACGTGGGAATGAGAAACGTGACGTGCAAAGTGAAAATTTTTTGACAGCGATCGATAACCGAGAAGTCACGCGTACGCATTTGTTCGCTCGCACGGGTGCATCTCTGTTCGGCCGTCCCTGAGCGCGGGCTCTACGCACGCTCTGATTGGCTAGTGTTTTTCGTTAATAATTCAAAAACGAAGCTTCAACCAACATTTTGGTAATGGAAAAAGTTGTTCAGAGTCACCCCAGTAACACTCCATTTTCGGGTGTTCGAGGAGTTACGGGACACCCTGTATATTCGTGGATCTCGTCGACTCGCTTTCTTCGGCGTTAATTCGAGAGAAACACCGTGAAGCACAGGTGGTTTTTTCCATTGAAAAATTGAAAAATTGAAAAATTCCTAATCAACCGCTAAACCTTCTTCGACCTTCTTCGAAGAGAGGAGAGGAGAGGAAGGATGGATACTCTAAGCTGGACGTTCAAGCTTCTGACGGTGAACGGTATTCTGGCACCGTCCGCTTTCATGTCTCAGTGGCAGACGATTTTGTACGGGATGTACATGTTCTTCATGGTGTCGATGCTCTACGCGATGGAGTGCTGCCTGATCTTGGGCATGATATTCAACGTGGACAGTCAGGAGGATTTCAGCGAGAATCTGTATATCACGTTGATACTGATGTGCAGCTGTTGCAAAATCTACATGCTGGTCACTTCTGCGAAGGGGATCAAAGTTATGGTGGACGTCCTTCGAGAGGAGCCTTTCGTGCCTATGAACAGAGAAGAGAACGAGATTAGAGTGAGATTCGAGGAGAAAATCGAGAGTAAGTGAGAGAAGGCGATCCAATGATTAACTATTGTTGAAATAGACGGGAAATAAATCCCATTAGTGTACATGTGTAAATTATTTCTGACCAATGAGAATTATGCGATCGAGAATCTAAGTGACATTATTGGGGCGTAGAAATGAACCAATTCAAGAAGCTGTGGACTAGCATTAACGATTAACGATCTTAGGAAGAAACGCGGCGTAACTGTTAAAAGTATACGCGTAAAATGCAAACTTGTTCCACCGTGATTCGTAATTTTATTAGACCGTCAATTAGACTGACGATCTCGAATAGAGAATTATGCAGTAATTGTTTGTCACAGTTGGAACGCTAAGGCTTACACATATTTCCTGGACATCTTGGTAGTCGTTTTATGGATAACATCGTACTTCACGGACTACAGGCGCAGAAAATTCAAATTTCGCGTCTGGTTACCTTACGACACTACTACACAACCTGTCTTCACTCTGATCTACTGTCAACAGATCGTCTGCACGTGGTACAGCGTGAATATTAACGTCATTTGCGACTGCCTGTTCAGCGGCCTGATGATACAGATTTGCTCAATCTTACGGAAGATGAAACCTACTCGGCGAAACTGTGTGCTCGTCACCATAATCAGATATACAAGCCAGTCTCGACAAGAAATTAAACGATACGTTTGATTGGCGCAAATAGTGAACGAGAAGCTTGGAAATGTCTCGAGTATACAGTTCGCGATAAGCACAGGAGCGATATGCTTCAATCTCTATCGAATGTCGGTGATAGAACTCGGTCCAAAGTTTGTGGAAGCGTTAACTATCACAGTATGCTTACTCGCGCAGATATTTTACTATTGTTGGTACGGTAACGATAGAAATTACGATAGAAATTAGTCTAGCTTTTGTCGTAAATTACTTCACGCTTCTTCTTTTCGCAGAGTCTCGAAATTGTGGACAGAGTAACGAACAGTAATATAACCGTGTCGGACGAAAGCTCCAAGAAGATTCTGGTATTGATGATACGACGAGCTTTGGAGCCTGTCGAGTTCACCGGCCTTCGTATCATGTCTGTTAATCTCGAGTCATTCACGTCGGTTAGTATGATATCGATATATCGATGTAGTTTGAAGAAAATTTCCAAGAGACGATCGTCATTTTCTGCGCCGTAAAATCATCTAATTTTGTTTCCAGGGAAAAAGATAATCTTACTCTTTTTCCACGGAAACACCCTCGCTATTAATCTTCCTTTTATCGAATGTTACGTTATGTTCGTTGTAGCTGTTGAAATCCTCCTACGCGGCTTTCAATATGCTCCAGGAAAGAAGGGAAGAGTAATAACGAAAAACTTTCGTTGAAACCGAGCGAACCGAATGCTAAGATCACACATTCGCATAAACGGTGGACGAAAGTTTCTACAGCACTTAGTAATAAATCTTGAGCAAAAATGATAATGACTATGAAAACTACTCACGTCACTATCCTCGTTCTCCACCTTTTCGTCCTATTCACACGGGAATAAAGGACATTTTCTGAACGTTCCGCTTTTCCCTGTCGCTGAATGGCGACCCCACGCCTAATTTATATTTCATCAGAGCCCAGTCAATAGCGAAATATCCGCGAACGCGAAAAACCAGAAGCAGACGATATAGAAAAAAGAGGGTTGCCAGGTGGTTCTTAAAAATACAGCTGACAGCGGGGTTTCAACATTAACAGAAATAATGACACAGCGCGTATCAACTTCCGCGTTCTCCGCCCTTGCCGTGCGTTAAATAATTCTTTCGAAATTGTCTCGCGTTTGATTATTCACTCATGTATCGATCGAAAATCATACGATTCAAAGGGTTTGAAGGGAAAGCATAAATATGATGCCCGGAATGAAAAGCTTCGTGGACCATAATTATGGTTGCATGTTTATTTCAACCAACTCAAAGGATATCGCGATGCTTCTATGCTCGTCGTAAATATATTATATGCTCGTGGATTTCGTCAACCAGTGTTCCAACTGCTTTCATTCGTTATTCGAGTACATTCGACGCCAGATGATAAAAAAGACGCAGAAGACGTTCGATCTTCGCGTAGATAATTGTCAGAATTACGATTCAAGTATGAGATTGGAGAACGATAGAGGATGAACGAGGGAGACAAAATGATGCATCTACTGCAAAAACAACTGCAATTTTGCGCAATGTGCGGTCTCTGGCCACCGCCATCATCAGCTCCGCTGTTTAAAAGATTCGCCTACTCTGTATTCTCGTGGTACACGTTAATACTGGTGTACATCACGGTTTTCAGCCAAATCATGGACCTAATCGTGAACGTGACGACTCAAGACGAGTTTAGCGACAATTTTTACATACTTCTGGCGTGTGCGATATCCTTGCAGAAAGCACAGAGTGTGTTAAACAGTCGTAAGAATGTCCACCGTATGATCGATCTTTTGAACAGCGAACCTTTTCATCCAGAATGTAAGGAGGAAATCGAGATAAGAAGTAGGATCTCCGAGCACGCCAGGTAAGTTCTTCATTTTTATACAGGCTTAATCTCTCCTTTTGTTTTTTTAACGCAACCATGTGTTTTACGAAACGTTCGAAACTCTTAACCTGTTGCCTTGTGACAACGACCGTTTGCAGAAGAAGCTCAACCTATTACGCGATTCTGGTCGAATCGACGGTGATGACTTTGTCTTTCGGTGCACTGTTGAAACCAGAATCACGTCCTTTACCGTATCGAATTTGGCTACCTTGCAATTACACCCCGTTAATTACTTACTGTTCGATTTACACTCTCCAATGTGTGGCACTCGCTCTAAGCGCTATGATGCACGTCGCCTGCGACAGTTTGATCTGCGGCCTGCTGTTACACACTTACGGCCAGATCGAGATCCTCGGTTGTCGTCTGAAAACGATAAAAGAAAACGAGAGTAAGACGTCCAAGTTGTGCGTTCGTTACAACAACCTTATCTATCGGTGCGTAGTGTGAAGCGTTCAAGTTTGAGGAACTTTGCAAGTGTGAAATTTTCTGCACGATAATTGCAGATTCACCGCTATGATAAACGAGCAATTCGAGATGGCGATTTTCACTCAATTCGCGGTGAGTACGCTGGCGATATGCTTCAATCTTTACCTATTAACAGGATCAGATGTGACGCCGATTAGGTATGTGGAAATAATCATGTACAGCAGTTGCATGCTCACGCAAATATTCATTTACTGCTGGTACGGGAACGAAGTTAAGCTGAAGGTTTCTTATTTTCGACATTGTTCATATTTGCTAAATCCTGCATAATTTGTTAACACTTTGTTATCTTGTTTAGAGCCTCGAGATTTCTAATATGATTTTTCACCTCGACTGGACACCGTTCGATAAAGCTACAAAACGAAATATACTAACTATGATGATGCGTGCGTCGTCGCCAATTGAAATCATCAGCGTTCGTGTGCTCTCCGTGAATCTCGATTCGTTCGTCGCTGTCAGTATTGATAAATATCAAAAAACTAATATTTTCCTTTTAAGATACGTCAATTTCTTTCCTCTTCCTTCGAATTTAAAGCGTTTTCCAATTGATCGTGGTAAACCAATTTGAAATATTGTCTTGACCTTAGTTGCTGAAAACTTCTTACTCGGCGTACAACGTTCTCCAACGCGGCGAAGGCTAAGGAACGGTTGGCCAAGCGTTCACCACCGTGGCCGGCGTGCTTCTGGATGGAAGAAATTAACGTGCGGATTAATGCCAGGAGAAAATAGGCCAGGTTTACATAAGCTGAAACAAAACCACGTATATTCTACTACTGGCAGCACTACACTTCAAACTACCGCGTCTCCTTTTGCTCATCCTTCGCTCTATTTTACTTGAAACGAGAATAAAGATGATATCGCTCGCAAGTGGTAATATTTCGTCTGATTCATATTTCAACGTAGCTAAATCAAGTTAATATATCCTGGCTGTGTTTAAAGAAGAAGCGAATCACGCCGTTGCATCATTAACAAAAATAATGACACGTCGCGAACGTACGTATCCCCGAACCACAACTTTTTCGCGCTCCAACGAATTTTTGTATTAGAAAAATCTGCCGATCGTGTAGATAAGATTGCACGTCACTTTTAACCAAACTATTTCCCTCGAAAGAGAGAAAGAAAAAGTATTATATGTTCGTTCCAATGGACGTGCGTATACTTCTCATCACTTCCGCTGTTTGTCACGCATTGCCACAGCTTAGAGAACAATGTACAGAGAGTCATGATAGAATCATGAGCTGGAAGGGTTGAATTTTTATTCTTGAAAATGTAATTACGCGTCTATTATTGACTATTACTATAATGACACGGTTGCCGCCGCCATACAAAGGGTATGTTCCGGTGAAAAAAATAAGCCGATTCGAGGCAGCGCGATGTAAATCGATATCGTCGAGATTATTAATGATATCTCCAATTTCGTGGGAGTGAAAGTGACAGTACAAATATAAAGACACTCGTGTTTTTATGAAAAGAAGTTTCCCCGATGCTGGTACAGCAACGTTCCTTTCAAAACTTTATAATTACTCTATGAAACATGAGCGTACTGAAGTCTACGTCACTTTTGCTCAAAATTTCCGGCTGTTATCTGCCCCATTCGTGGACAACACCGTTCGAAAGGTCTTTGTACAATATCTACGGGGTGTTCTCCTTTCTTCTTCTAAGCAGCCTCGTCCTCTCGCAAATATTAGACGTAGCGATCAACGTGGAGAGCCAGGATGACTTCAGTGACAATTTTTCTGTCACCGCTGTGGTGTTTCTCACGTGGTTCAAGCTTTCCATCCTACTCATACGACGTGGAAACTTTATATTTCTGATCGATACGCTTCAGAACAAGCCGTTTTCACCTGTGGACACGGAAGAGAACGAGATTAGAGCGAAATTCGAGAAGATCACCGAGTAAGTTTGAGTATCATGTAGGAATAGTATAATTTCTTGTAAAGAATTGACAAATTTTACGTACTTTCAAAGTTAAGATTGAGTGATGTTAGTCTCTGGTTTTTTAGATGGAACACGATTGGCTACTGGAGTTTACTATTAATTTCTACGTTCTTTATATACGTGAGATCGCTTTTGATAGATTTTAGTAATAGAAAACTGATGTTTCGAGCATGGATACCCTACGATTACTCCCCTGCGCCCATTTTTATCCTTACCTCCGTCCATCAAGCTATAGCCTCGACGATATGTTGCACTTCGACCGTCACTGTGGATACTCTATACACTGGCTTGTTGATTAATATCTACTGCCAGTTCGAGATACTAGAACATCGTCTAAGGAACGTTAAAACTGAGCAGGATGACTCTGTGAAGCAATGTGCTCAACATCACGATCGTATATACCAGTAAGTTTTCGTTTGCCTTGCGATATTTCAAATTAGTTACATTCGTGATGCAAATTATGACGCAAAAAGTAAAGAATAATTTCTGAGTCACATTTGACAATTTTGTTTTTTTTTGGTAACCGTATTTTCGACGATAAAAAGATTGTGAATTGCAGAATGCAATTTAATTTTATATTTATTTTATATTATTGCAAAGTACAATATTCCAATATTCGAAAAATTTCCAAATTTTGAAAAGAAAATTGTAAAGTAAAGAATTAAAGACAGAAAGAAAGCGAGACAACCCTTTCGTGGAAAATTCACTATGTTGCTTGCAAACTTGCAGATTTTCGAAAAAGGTGAACGAAGAATTCAAACTGATACTGATTTCTCAATTCTGCATAAGCATGTCGGTGATCTGCTTCAATCTTTACCGAATGACACAGATCAAAATGGACACGAAATTCGTCGAAATCATACTCTACTCTTTCTGCACTATCACGCAGATATTTTACTATTGTTGGTACGGCAACGAAGTGAAAGATAAGGTTGATCATTGTCACGATAAGAAAAATACAAAAATCACCCGACAAATTTTCTCCATTTGATCGAATACTTTCCCTCGTAGAGCCTCCAACTTCCATACATGATATTTCACAGCGACTGGACGTCTTTGAACAACAACGTCACCAGAGCACTTTTAATCATGATGAGACGTGCAGTGAGGCCAATAGAGTTCACCAGTATTCACGTTGTCTCTGTGAATCTCGAATCCTTCATGGCAGTCTGTATACCAAATAAACCAAAACGATTCCTCTTTACAGAAAATTCAACATTCTGAGGTATCACCTGTTTCAGGTAATAAAAACTGCGTACTCCGCGTTCAACATGATCCAACAAAGCAAACAATCGTAAGGAACACTTTGTCAACGTAGTAAAACAACGTCTTTCTTCGATCCTTGGGAAAGTCCCTCGAGAAGCACCAATAAATGAAACGAGAAAGAAAAAAAAAGAAGAAGAAAACTGTATATCTTGTGCACATGAAATCACGCAACTCGCCGTTTGTAGATTGCTAGTCTTTCCCATTATCTATCTTGTCGACTGCTCGTCAAGTTTACGTTTAAATATTTACCGCCACTTTTCGCCCCTTATAAGACCATTTATATTTCATGCGGGCATTCTTTGTTATACGGATAAAATGCGACGGAGCGTGCACGTAAAATATCATACCAACAACGCTATTAGAGCTGCAATTATAATGCTCGTCTTCTTACCAGCAATTACAATAACTGTACCTGACAGAGTGAATATCGTTCTACGGAGCATGGTCAGTATCGACGTATTTCTAATCGTTCAGTAGATACGCAGTGCCATGCCAAGTAGGGTCACCCGATGAAATACAACGAAACGCTATAATACTCGAAATAAAGATTGATTTCAGTAAAAAAGAAAAGTGTCCCTTTTTCTATCTATCTCTGAGGAGGAAAACAACAAATACACGTTGAAATGCATATGCACACGTTGCAATTGTCGTTGAAAACTTTGACGATTTGCGGCTACATAAGGCCAACATCGTGGAAGTCACCGGGGCTAAAGCTTCTCTATAACGTACACACGGTTACTGTAGTGGTAGTTCTTAGCACGTTTTTCGTCGCCCAGATATTGGACATTATTTTCAACGTGGAGAATCAAGACGAGTTTAGCGACAATTTCTGCATAACGTGCTGCGTGATGAACAGCCTTGGAAAGTTGTACAGCTTGCTGATAGGACGAGAAATGATCCAAAATTTAATAGACTCGCTACAAAGTGACCCTCTTAGGCCGTTGGACGAAGTGGAGAATGAAATTCGATTGAGACACGAGAAGACAATCGAGTGAGTTTTTCAACAAAATTGTATAAAAAACAAACGATGGAAAATTGAATGGAATGAAAATATCCTGTTGTAGAAAGCTCTCGATGGCCTATACGGTTTGTACAGTACTGAGCGCGACTGGTGTATGGATGTTGTCGGCCATGACGGCATTCAGGATCAGAGAGTTACCCCTTCGAGTATGGTTACCTTTCGATTATAGAGCCACATTGGGTATTTTCAGCCTTACCTACGCTTATCAGTTTGTAACTCTGATATTCATTACTACCGCGATTATGGGTACTGACAATCTATTCAGCGGACTGTTGATCCACATTTATTGCCAATTCGAGATACTCCAACATCGTCTGAAGAGCATTAAACCTGACAGGGAGTACTCTGCGAAACAGTGTGCTTTTCATCATTATCGCATATACAAGTTTGTCTACTATTTTTTTTTTCTTCGTTTACCGTTAAGTAAGAAAAGCTAATTAAATTTGCGAATTTTCAGTTTTTGAAATTAAATCGAAAATTGGAATTAAAATTAATTTTTCTTACCGAGATAGCTGTTTTTATCTGATCAGGGCACGAGTCTGACTCGTTTTTATACGGCAAGGGGTTATAGATAACGGAGGAAACGATGGATTTTTTTTCTGCACGATTAAAGTGGCTCGTTTATGTTACACGTGAAAATTGACGTTTTAAAGAGTGCAATTATGTGACGATATGTATGCGAAAAAGGGGCACGTAGTCTGGAATGATTTCAGATTCGCTGAAATTATAAACGCGAAGTTCAGCATCACGATGGCCACGCAATTTCTGGTGACCACTATGACAATGTGCTTCAACCTCTTTCGACTGACACAGACCAAGGTGTATTCGCAAGTTTTAGCATTGATACCGTTCATGGTCAGTGTGTTCGCACAGATATTTTATTGTTGCTGGTATGGAAACGAGACCAAAGTGAAGGTACGTGATCAAACAGACTTCTTATTCTCAATTTTCCTCTCGTTTCTGTTTCTACGTAATGTTGATTCTCGTAGAGCCTTGAAATTTGCGACACAGTATTCGAAAGCAACTGGACGGCACTGAGCCAGAGCACCAAAAAGACACTCCTGACGATTATGTTACGCTCGTTGAAGCCAATAGAATTCACCGGCGCTTTCGTTTTCCCCGTAAATTTGGAGTCTTTTAAAAGTGTTTGTATCAAAATATATATATTTTTCTTAGCGCACGTTTTACGCGTCCAATACAAAGTAACAATCTTCCAAATAAAATCTATCGCGAACAATAATATACTGGCAGTCCACATTCGTTCCGTATCTTGTCATTTTCTTCTCTATTTTCATATCAATCGCAGTTGGTGAAAACTTCCTATTCGGTATTCAACGTAATCCAGCAAACGTAATCGACCACACACTCCGTAGAAGATTCACCGGTCCAAAATTTGCTGAAAATGTTAGGCACGCG